CTTTCTTCTTCTCTTCTTCTTCTTCTTCTTCGCGTGAAATGCCTCCTCCTGTTTGTACTGAAAAATGGGAAACAAAAAATATTAATGATAAATATTTTAATTATACTCGATTTTATGTTAGCGAATAGATTCCAGCATACCAAAGGTATCTCTTACCTTGAGCAGCTTTCCTCTTCGCTTTTACAAAGCTTTTATAGATCATATTAATCTAGCAAAAAAACATTTAATTATAAATTTAACGGAAAGAATAAATTATCTTAAAATTTAAAAATAATATTAAATTTACCTTCATAATTTTCCGGAGAATAGCCCGTCCGTGATTCGCATTGATGGAAAATCTCGATCTCTTCTTCTAAAAGGCCGTCGCACATTTGCTCAAAGGCTCTTCTCCTGTTTTCTTCGCCATCGTCTTCTTCCTCGTCATCGTTATCGTCATCTTCTTCTCCTTCTCTATCTTCTTGTCTTTCTTCTTCATCAATTTCTTCTCCTTCTTCATCTACATCTTCTTCTTCTTGTTCTTCTTCGTTTTCCTCCTCCTCATTTTCTTCTTCTCCATATTCTGATTCATCCAGGTCGTTTGCTTGTACTAAAAAAGAAAGAAGTCGTTATTATTATTACCTTTTTTCAAGAATTAGCTAATACGAGTTTTATAACTTTTATTATTTTAAATAATTACTCACGAGGTGCGTAAATTTCTGTGTCGGCTTCGCTCAGAGTCGGCTCCTCGTCGCTATTTTCCTCCACATCTGAAACAAAATTAAGCTTTTATTAATTGAATTCGATATTCTGTGAGATAATTTTGAAAGCAATATTTGCTATTTTCTTACCTGAAACCAGATCAACCATTGGGATACCCTCCTCCTCCTCAGGTTGCACGTCTATCCGCATTCGCACTCGTCCTAAAAATTCGATATTTTAATTTAAAAATCTGAAAATTTAAAAATCTAGATTTTCAATTATATCAATTTTCTATTATTTACTCACGATCGTTTACTCCTTCCACCTCGTCTTCGGCGGGGCGTCTCAGCCCTCGCAGTTGGTACGGATGTACAACCGCGATGTTATCTCTCGCTTAAAAAAAATATTTTAAATTTAGAATTTTTTATACCTGCATATTCTAATTTCAATTACTTTAAAAAATAAATATTTACCTCCTCCGGTGCACCTTGTAAAATAACCGA